CTGAAACTTTCATCTCTCCAGCGAGTGTGGGCCACTCACATATCGAGATAGAGTACTGCTTCCTGCATAAATGCCCCCAAAGAGAAAGCAAGAAAGATAGGTACAGAGAGAGAAGGAGGAAGAGATAGAACGAAATAGAGCGAGAATCTGTGTGTGTGCTTGTGATGAAGCTTGTGAAGTGTGTGCAAGTGTGTCTGTGAGAACACGAGAAAGTACAGAAAGAGAGAGAAGGAGGGAGAGGGACGCTGTGCCTCTGCGAGAAAGAGAGAGAGATGGCGTTTTTCAGGGATTAGCTGAGAAAACTACGCAACCGGATACAAAATACGTAAGTCTTTCCGTATGTTTATACGGTCAACGTATCTCTCTTACAAGTATTCTTTTCTTTTCTGTGAAATTAGTAATAAATAAATTACTACCATAAAATTTGGTTCACGATCAAAACGACGTCGTGTGATTCACGCTTTCTCCCAAGAAACGTCACACGCGCACGCATATTTTTTCTTTTGGGGCCCCCCTTTTCGCCAGAAGAGACGTTATGATTTGAATCTATTCATCCCCACGCAGGGAATCTACCGAGCTTCAATGACTGTTTTTTGGAAACATATTTTTTTTTTATCCCTGCACATGTATTTTTTTTTATATTTTAAATTTTTATACTTTTATTTTTAATATTTTATATTTATTTAAAATCCTTACATTTTATTCATTTAAAAACTCAAAACATAAAAAAAATATAGAGAATTATAATAAAACACGAATAAAATATAGAGATGAAAATATATGTTTTTTTAAGTGTTTTTTAAATAATTCATTATAATTGAGTCCCTTAATTTCAATTCATTATAGCTCAATTTTTATAAATTTCATTTAATTATAACTTAATTTTTAAATTTTAACTCATACAATTTAATTTTTATAATTTTAATTATTAAAATATGAATTTCTGTATTTTTTTTAAATAAAAGTATAAATATTAAAATTATGTTAAAATTTAAGACTAATATTTTAAATTATTAAATACTTTTAATCTTTATAAAAATTATAAAGATTAAAATCTTAAAATATTTTAATATTTATGATTTTATTTTTTAAAAATAGAGATTAATATTTAAATTGTTAAGAATTAAGTTGTAAAATTTAAAATTCAGAAATTAAATTATAACTTAGTTAAAAATATTTAAGAATTGAGTTTTAATGAGTTAAATTTTAATAATTAAATTATAATTGAGTTAAAATTATAAAAATTAAATGACTAATTTTTTAAATCTTTTTCCTTTTCATAAACTTATTTTTTGGGTTTCTTTGATAAATAATTTCATAATTTATATCCGAGTTCCAATGAGAAACAACAATGGCCTCGTATTCCTTTTACAGTAAATAAAATACTTATAAACATGCTCATGCTGTCAACAATTTAAAAAAAATACAGAAAAAAACTTAAAAATTAAAAAAGAACCTAATGAATAAGTCTTTATCAAACTACTAAAAAAATTACAGTTTATCATTAAACTCTATGCAACCACAACTACACAGATCTATCTAATTAGTTAAAAAATGATAAAAATAAATTTGTCAAGTATGGATTTCAACGAATCTTTTGGTATGTTTACTTCGTAAAGTCTTTGACCTTTTTAAGAATCTGAAGAGGATGGTCAAGCAACCGAGAATTTCAACGCTCAAATTAGCTTATAAAGGTAACACAATGATCATTTCGAAACATGCAATGACATAGGGAACTTTGTTGTGTAGTTCTTATTTGCACAACTGAGGAATTTCCACTTCTCGGTCTAAAGAGAAATTTGCAATTTGAAAACCAAAATATTTATCTATAATTAAAACATCCACCCAAACTTAAGTTAATTAATAATTCTCTTAATTAAGTAATTAATATTAACTAATTAAAATTTCCACAAATTGTTCCTTTGTTTTGCAATGAAATTACATGAAAAAACAAAGGAACGCTTTAGCCTCAAAGAAAACTTATTCCAAAATAAAATACGAATTTTGAATTCATCTTGAATGAATGTCTAACATGGCATAATAATAATTGTTAATTTAATTAAACAACTGTTAGAAATTTTGTTACATGATATTCAAAATGCACCAAATCTCAATTTTAATTTTGAAGGGAACAACATAGGTTAGAGGTTTATTTTGAATTCTTTGAGAAAAATGTTTGTTAATAAATTTTAAAGCTTGATTAGATACAATCACTATAATTGAGATATTTATTGAACGAATAGAGTCAAGTCACTTATTGAATTTAAATTTACAAAACATAATAAAAATAGATATATCTAAATTGTCACATTATGATCCACTTCATCTAAAACAAAATAATGAAATTCTTGTTAGGAGAGCCACTCATATTTAACTTATGATTGTGCTGTGAATAGAATTGCTGTAAGGGCAAGAGTCATATACTTAGCATTATATATTTATATAAATTAAATCATAACACGTGAATCTTTTATATATTAATTTAATTAATAACAAACAATTTATTGTAGAAAAATAATTTATAAAAGATTCACCTTATAAATTGTCTTATTTTCATAAATCATTTTTCTCCACATATAATTTTCCCTATTGTATAAGATAATGCCTTTGGTTTTTTTTTTTAAAGAAAAAAGAAAGGAAGGGCTTGCTTGGATACATGTAGAATTAAGTATGGTCTAAAATCATAATTTTGAGAAATTTTATTCAAACACCCCCAGTTTTCTCACTTCATGTGCTTTTCAAAACTCCACTTGACACGATGCTTACTTGGATAACACCTTGAATTAATTTTAGAGACTAAAATTATAATTTTATAAAAATATATTTAAACATTCACGTTACATGTTAAAATCAATTGTAAATTTAAAACAATATTTTCTTAAAAGTATCCAAACATCTATTGTACATGTTAAATAAATTATGAACATAAAACCATTGATTTTTTTAAAAAATTTTAAACACCTCTTATTATGTCAAAATTAATTATGAACCAAAAAATAAGATTTGTAAAATTATTTATATGATTTATGAATAAATTTTTTAAAAAGGTATAATTGAAAAATTGATTTGAAAAGTAGGTAATAATGGCTTATAAAATAATTATGGTTTTGAGTTTATGATTGATTTTAACATGTATAATAGCTTTGGATATTTAAAAAAAATCATGATTTTGAGTTTATAATTAATTTTGGCATGTATAATGAGTGTTTAATTTTTTTTGAAAATATAATTTTAAATTCATAATTAATTTTGGCATGTAATATGGATGTTCAGATATATTTTCACAAAATCATGATTTTTCCTTATTTTCAATTTTGCTTTTCAATTTTAATTAAAATCAATATTATTAATTAATTTTATAATCAATTATATATCACATAACATAATTAATTATATTTAAAATTAATCATATTAATCAAATTTTTATAATTAATTATATCCAACTGAAATTTAAATACACCCATAAACTATTTTTTTCTCCGTCTAAGAATAAATTCTCAACATTTGAACTTTTTTTCTCTATTTCAGTGTTTATAATTGATCCCAAAGAATTATCCAAATATTTTTAATTATCAAAAATTAATTTAAAAAATATTATTTAAATATCATCACATTTTGTTATAATTTATTTATGACCAATTTTTGTCGATTGAAATCCAAACTCATGCAAGAAGGATCAAACTTCTTGAAGGAAAATTATAAACAATTGGGAACCACGCGCGACAGGAGAGAGTGGTGAAGAGACATAGATTGTCGTGGATATCGTCGAAAACCATTGGGGAAGGAAGGGCTAGAATGAATAATAAGTGTTCTGAGGACGGAGCAGCGTCAGCGTGGCCTGTACACTCATCTATTTGTTCCATTCCATAATTTAGTACCCTCCCTCAAGGTATCCGAGGGACGCTCCACGTGTCTTTCCATCCACACGCCACGTGTCCATGTACGACAAGACCCTCACCCACACCCACATGGGCCTCTAAATTAATTAAGTGCCTCCCCAAACACACCCCCTAATTATTTTAACCAATTAAATATTCATTTTCTTCCATTTTGTTGCTATTAAAAAAGAGTTAGAACTTAGATCTAGTCTTGTTATAATTTAATCTCATTTAAAAGAGGGAGGTAACGGCTATTTTCTCTATCCCAACTTTTAGCTCTCTAAAAGGTAAATTAATTTATTATGTTTTGCGAGTGTGGTTCCATGAAAAGGCAAAAAGGTCTGTGATGAAATTCATAAAATCTCCACAGGAACTGGTGGGCCATGCCCCATCATGGGTCCTATTACTCACTTTCTAGCGGAAGTATGGGAGGCTGGGAGCGGTGTATCTTCCTAAAAATAAAATGATTCAAGAGAGCGCTTCTAATTTAATTTTTGGAGGAGTAGTTATGATTATAAAGTTTTCTCATGAAAATAACTAATCATTTAATACTATAATTTTAATTCAAACTCTTGTAACTCAATACGTAATTACTTATAATTTTAACTAAGCTATGGTTTAATCCTCGAATTTCAAGGCGGGTCCAATTCAATTTTATAATTTTAACTATTTAAAATACTAATCTACATATTTAAAAAAATAAAATTATAAAAATTAAAATTATTTTAAAATTTAGGGACTAATATTTCAAATTACTAAAAATTATAGTCTTTATAAAGATTATAACATTTATTATAATCTCTATAATTTTATTTTTTAAAAAATAAAGAATTAATATTTTAAATTATCAAAATTATAGGGACTGGATTACATTAAATAAAAACTTAGGGCTTAAGTTAAAATCAAATCAAAATTATACAGACTAATTTACAATAAATCAAAATTTAACAACTTAGTTACAAGTATATCAAAAATACGAGATCAAATGATTAATCTTTTCTGTCCTCATTCCATACATATAAATAATCATTAAACTTGGAAAATAAATAGAATGCGAAAAGAAATACTGTCATTTCGAACTTCACATATTGAAAAAAACAGTTGCTGGACTTTTGGGAGACGTAAACCAATAATGCCAACTACTATAAATTCAATTTATTGCTTTGTTCCTTAGGGACTATTCCCTTCTCAAAGTACCACAGTGAATTACAAGAAAGAGTCAGCCTCAATGAACTAATGAAACAGACATAACAACTGACTTGCATTCACACCTCATGCATCTAGACTTCTATCATTTTCAATTCTAAGACTTTTTTCCACCTCATCTCTATTTCTATCACACGCCATTACCAAAAATATTAAAAAGGTTTAAACAACACAGCATTCCAACTCCACTGGCTAAAAAAAAAAAAAAAGACAGATACTTAACATCACAAGCTATAGACATGCAGCACCCAGGAACTGGTACTTTTGCTCCTTATAGTAACATTCACAATCTTAGCCATAGCATCGAATTGGATCGTTGCACCCTTTAGCAGCAGACTGCTTGAAACCGAATCTACCTCCTTTCGCAAGGTATTGCTGATGGTATTCTTCTGCCCGGTAGAACTTCTTGGCGGGAAGAATCTCTGTAACGATCTTCCTGTTCAACTTCTTCTGTTGTCTTTCCACCGACTCTCGGGCTGCCTTCTCTTGTTCAGGCGTGTAATAGTATAATCCAGATCTGTATTGTGTTCCCACATCATTTCCCTGTCACACATCAAGATTAAAATGCCATGAGTGGTTAAGCCACAAGATGCATGTGCACCATCTGACAGCATTTCGTCATCATATATTCGACATACATACGTGAATGGATTTTCTGAGACAAAGGAAAAGGGGAAGCAGAAAAATACTGATATGCAAGAACAGAAGCGACAAGGGGAAAGATGTGACTGAATTTGAAGATTAATAAAAATTGCACAATCCTTGCATTCACCAAGCGCAAACCATACTTACAGTTACTCCATCCAAAATTCCCCCCTCCCACACTTTTTCATTCTAACTTAAATGCAGTTAGGTTTAACGTTGCCTGAGATTTATAAATATAACATAGTGCAGTTATCAATGTTTATCATCACATGTCGAAATAAGGTCAAAATATTAATAATCCCAAGTCAAAATCGACTGTTTCAGGTCCTTTCATACAAATATCAAGAAGTAAGTTCAGCGTAATCTGAGGCTTAAAACATATATGTCAAGGTTGAACTTCATAATTCACAACTACCCAACACAGAAAATGATTTAATTTTTTTTTTTAAAAAAATCAGATACAAGTCAGGCAATATGCGTCAACAACAAACGTAAGATCAAATTCATGTTAACAATTATCATCCCAAAGAGAATAAAGCACAAAGCATTTGAATCAAACCTACTCAGAATGCAAGGGTTGGAAGCCTCAATGAATAACTGGTGAACTATTGCATATCCATAATAGCATTGGTAGAAGGTGAGATACATGATCTTTCCATCTCCCAATATTTCTATCTATACATGTATCAACAATTCAACAACAAACACTCAGCTATTTGTGACAAAAGAACTTCTGGAATTCAAAGATCCAAGAGCTTACTGATAATTCCACGAATATTATCACAAGAAAACATGACCGTGAACCTGAAGGTGATACTTTGAACAGGACAAAACAAAAAAGCACAGAAAATTTTAATTTTAGATCTTGGATGTCAAAGTTGAAACATTCAATGCGAACATAGATCCTTTGAAGTAATTCACCCTAGTGAAGAAGAGAGAGATAGGAAGAGAATGGGAGGTTCTGCTTCTACACAAGTGGAACTCACAAAGTGGAGCCCACATTTTCTTCCTATTTCTCTCTACTTCACCCATGAAGTGCTTTGAGGGATCCAAGTCATTTGAAGCGAGTTGTACTTCAAGATTCAACCAGTTAAATTAAAAAAAAAAAAGCATGTGAAACTGAAAAATTGATTAAAAAAAAAAGATGTAATTTCAAGCACATATCAACAGGAACCATTTGAAAACACACACCGGAGAGCACAACTGCAAACATAGAGGGCTAACTATCTACAGAAACAATCAACATCAAATTACAGCCTTACGCAAGCAAGACATTAAATCAATTTTTTTCAGCATATTAAACCCTAAACATAATAATTTAAAGGGCTCTTTCATACACATCAGCAGAGTCTCGACATCCCACTTGAAATTTAAAGGGCATTTAACTCAATTACAAGGCCAATTCCATCAAGCACATCAAGGTTTATAGAACAAGGCAAGAGCTGCACTATACCTGTCGATTTGGAGTGGTAGGATCGTGCTTATCCCAAAACACATCAAGCAAAGTGTCATAGCTGCATTCTTTGGGGTCATATTGGACCCTGACGACCTCTGAGTGGTTTGTGGTCCCGGTACAAATATCCTCATAGGTTGGGTTGTGCAAATATCCCTGACTGTACCCAACCTCAGTCTTAGTTACCCCAGGCACCCTTTGAAAGGCTAATTCAACACCCCAAAAGCAACCACCACCAAACTGGGCAAACTGCTGGCCTGGTGCAGGTATGTCATCATCTGGACCTTGAGGAATTGAAGAATCCATATTCTCAGAAGCCCTCATACTACCAAACCCAAGTCTGTTCAACAAGTTCATCGAGGGCTTGCAAACAGCAACACGTCGGTGAGTTTGAGGGAAGGAGTAAATACGCTTGGAAGAGAATCTAGAAACTGAAGAGAGGAACTTGGTTTTGGTAGAATTGGAGAATGATGATGAGAGGAAAACCAGAATCGAGCTAGTTGTGGAGGTGCAACTGCTGCTGGTTGCTGCTAAGAGTTTGAACAAGATAAGCTTTCTGTTCTAGAGGATATTATCAAAATTAAAATGCCATTATATAAAAAAAAAAAAAACCCAAAAAGACATAAAGAGCCATAATTGGTTGAGGCAGCGTAACTACCGCTGCTTACTGCTAAAAGCTTGAAGAAACTTAGCTTTCATTCGTAGAATATACAATAAAAAATTATAATACCCTTGTGTCTTTATATAAATAAACCCCAAAAAAGTAACAGAACCACCAGGTGAACATGCGTAGGAAACCAATGATACAGCTTATAAAACATATTTGATTGCATGAAGAGTACTTATGATTAATTTATGTAAGAAAATGAAATACATTGAGAGCCTAGATAATTGAAAAGATTTTATACATCTGAGAAGGAATAGAGCTTTCATGTTTTCACAAAAAATCAATGGAAGGAAGAATAATTGTGAAGCTAAAATTTCACCTCACTAGAGGTGACACGCGCAGTGAATGGGGAAAAAAAATTATCTTCTCCCACATGGTCTTTCATATCAGTACGTAGGCTCTTGTTATCAAAATTAGTACACAAGAAAAAATAAGACTACAAACTGAGGTACAATTTGTTCCACTTCAGATGGAATAAAAATATATTAGCATGACTGTCAAAAAGTTCATAAACCCATAAAGGCAATATGCCAAAAGTAGAGGCCATAATGTTACGACCATTACTCTCTCTCCAAAAGTTAATCGCACCAATTCATAGAACAGGACCCTCTCCAAGTCTCTCTAACGTGAGACGTAACAGCTCTCTTGACTAATCCGTAATGCTCTCATCACGAGTGGCCCAGCAGAAAGGCCACCGACTAAACAAACTAGGATTTGGCTCTAATACCACTTTATTACAATTACTTGCTCCCCCAAAAGGTTAATCCAATAGGATGTGTAGAGCACCTGCTTATATAATCAAGAGCCCCCAAGTCCCTCAGATGCGGGACGTAAGAATAGGCTGATCAATCACACACATTAGGACACCGATTATCCTAGTACCATGGCAGTAATATTAAAAATGATAGCCCATGCAATTTAAAAATTGCTTTCAAGTTCTGCTTTCCCAACCGATTTTTTTTTTTTTTATGATCTCCTTAATTTCAGACAAAAGTTGATATAAAAATAGTGAAACAGAAAAGCAGAACCACAGAACCCGCAAGAACCAGAATAGTTGGCACGAGTAAAGCGAGAAAGTTGAAGAATTAGCTCAGCCAAAGCAATTAATGAAAGGAAATTCCAAAGCAGCGCATACCTGCCGTACAAATATTCATCTTCGACCCTTCAACAAATACAAAGAAAGTGAAAACAACAAAGATAATTGAGCAGAGACGAAGAGAACCCGCAATCGAAATCGCAAATACAAACACGTAATTGCATGAGAGAAAGAGAAGTAGAAATGATATAATACCTAGCCAAGAGTGAGAATCCGACAGGAAAAGAAAAAATAAGGGAAGATTTGGATGGTGATTGAGGAGCGAACGACGATGACGAAGATAAACTACCTGAATAACGTTTCTCTCTCTCTCTCCCTCTGCCCAAGAGCGTTTCTCAGTAAAACGGTGCCGTTTTCTCGGTGGTTCGAAAAATCGAAAGTTAACGAAAGTCCTCAAGCCTGACACGAAATGACCCGCACACCGCACGATCCAAGGGTAGAACCGCCAATTTAAAATCCATTACGTGTCAGTTTCTTGATTTCGCGATGTCGTTAATGAAAAGACGAAAATACCACTAGACGCCGCCGGAGAGAAAGCAGAGTCGTAGCCAAACGCAGTAGCTGCAAGGTCTTTTTATATAGTAAATAGAAATGGGAGAATCGTATCTAAATAAAAATCAAGGAAAATCATAACTTTTGCTTCTTATATTTTATTCACATTTTATTATTAATTTTTATATATTTTTTTAATATTTTTAATATTTTTAATTTTTATTTTTTAAATATCTCTTTAAAAATTATTTTTTAAAATAATAAAATATAATTTTAGATTCTCACACTTCATTTATATTTTATTTTTAATTTTATATTTTTTTAATATTTTATATTTCGATACTTTTTTGTTATTATTTTAGCGCCCTCCGTGAACAAATTCTTTATATATTCCTATCTTCTAGGTAGTTTTTAAAGTCCTAAGTGAAATTGGGCATTGTTCCAGCTGGTTCCAGGGCGAGCATGGACCTTCCCAAATTCCAACAAACTTGTCTTCCCACGCTTCCTCCAGTGGACACATCAAATCACCGCATCATTCAACAATAAATAAATAAGTAAATAAATAAATAACTCCATTTGAACGTATCGTGTTAAAAAATACAAATACTTTAAGTCTTTCAAACAATATTTTACAAATCAGATTTGGATATTGAATATTAAATTAAAAAAATTAATGATTCTCAATTTTTATGATCTAATCTATTAGACCACTTGTGATTCTAAGACATATTTTCAGTAGTTTGCAACTGACATATCTAATTTTACAACTGTCACGAATAATTTACAATTCCTTCTTACAATTTTTTTTGAACGAAATTCCTTTTTGAAATTTTGAGTAGAAAAAACTATTGAATTTTTGAAAAGCTATAATTATAAAACATCACTTCAATAATTTACAATTGAGATATCAAATTTTACAATTTTTTTATGAATAATTTGTAACTTTTTCTCGAAATTTTGAGTGAAAAAGTTATTGAATTCTTGAAAAAGTTATAATTCTAAAACATTGCTCCAGTAATTTGTAATTGACATATTCAAATTTTTAACTGCCTTACTAATTTTTTGCAACTCCTTAAAATTTTGGGTGAAAAAATTATTGAATTCTTGAACATTTACAACTAACATATCTAATTTTCCAACTACTTCACGAATAATTTGCAACCTCTATTCAAAATTTTAAGACGACACACTTTTAGTAATTAAAGAATATATGAACTGTACATATAAGCTACATGTATTAATCATCTAATACATTTGCATATGTCAATTGTCCATATGCATACATAAAAGTATGAACTTGGATTTACTAAAGAGGGATTGCTATGTACCAAAAACATCCCCTAAAACTATTGAATTTTTAAATTTGTAAAACAACTAAGTTTTAAATATAATTAAAAATAATTAGAATCAATTATCTATATGCTAAAAATGTAAACTTCTTTTATCAAAAATACCCTCACTTGTGTAGCTGACTGGTTAGTAATGAATACTTTATTGTTTCAAATAAATACCTTCATCAATGAGAGCCCAAAAAAAATAAAAGGAAGATCTAATAAATGCTCAAAACAAGATATTGTTAATTCTTACAAATTCGATCAAGAACTCTGCCAAAAATTTCCTATAAAAAGGACAAGAGAGAGCAACATGATGCTTCAATTCAACTACTTCAAAGGACAACGCTGTGTCATGACTTCCAAATGACTACTGAGAAGTTGATGAGATGACTAATCAAAACAATTTGATTTTTCAGAGACTGCAATGTCATCTATCAAGAGTGAGAAAGATTTTTTTTTTTACATCTCCATAACTTTATGATCTATCAAGGTTCATGGGAGCTTACAAGAAACTCCACTTCCTGTTTTTTTCTACATTTCATCAGTTCAAAATAGCATTACACTATTGGGTTGCAATGCTACTAGATGATGCTACAGATACAGAACTTGAGTTAATGGGAATTTCACTTCGCCTCTTCACATTTAAAAAAATGATAATTTGCTTCTCATATGAAGGTAATTTTTTGCTTAAGGCAGGAGATATGTCACTCTCAGAAATCTATAGAAGTGCTATAAGACGCTCGAACATTGTTTTGAATATCTTCAGCTTCTGATACTTGTCTAACTCTGCTTGTTGCCGAAGGGAGTCAAACTGATAGAGACAAATTCATGATTGAATACAATTAGATTAATAAATACACACACATATACACATATATACTCTTTGTCTTATTTATAAATCAGTATCATTAGAATTAAAAAAAATCTTAAAGCTCATTAACCCTATTTAAAAATTCAATGAGTTTTTAACGTATTAAATACATATAGTTTAATAATATTCTTTCTCTTACCATCATTTAATAGATGTAAAAGGAGAAACTTGTGATAAAAAAATAAATGACGTTACTTGTAAATAAAACCAAAAATATCCTTCTCTTTCTAGTTTCTGCAAATAGGAGGGAGTATCTACTTTTTAACAATTATTGTTCCAACATTCTTATCACTTTACAATACAAATAAATATTTTTCAGTTTCTGCATTTTATATGCATACATACAAAGGAGGTGATTAACATAGCCCACAATTGCATATCAGAACCACTAAAAGATAATTCTAACTAATGTTTAAAAAATTTACATCGGGATCATTTAAATTAAATTTGGGCGGTCAATATTTCATCTCAGCGATAAGCATGTCGTTACGATAAGTGTTGAATAATATACACCCGCCCCACTTCATTGTATGCTTAACCTTCTAAATGCATCCTTTGACTCAATTGAAACAGCGAGCCTTCTATTTAACTAAGATGTGAGTTCTCGTGTCTCTCTCATTCTAAATATCACTTTGTGAATGGTGAGGATTCAAAAGCAATGGCCAACCAAGTCAAAAGGAGAGTGGGCGATATGGCTTACGTCGCAGAGGAGTAACTGTCCTGCATCTCCTGCACATAGGCCACAAATGTAGTGGACAGGGCATTATTTGCTTTTCTATCCGTTATGTGTTTGGCAATGTGTTTCTCTCTAGTATAAAGGTGTATGATGTATGAGAATGGAAGACTAGAAGTGGTTCATCAATCATCAAAACATTAAGTGTCTTGTGTACTTGCTACTTAGAGTCCTTTTGATTATGAGATTTACAAGCATTCAAGATCTTGCCTTCATTTCTCCAATAAAATCTTTCTTTAAACCTTCATTTCATCATGTTCATTCAGTTCTTATAAAAAAACATAAAGAAAATAATACAATGTGGATTTTATTCATGTAGACATTTACATAGGTTCGGTAAAAACTTAATTTAAATTAGGAAGACATAAGGCAAGATATTTAATTTCATATAGTACGCACACACAAACACATTCTTAACTGATGTATTGAGATGATAACTAAGTTGAAATAAAAATTATTTTAATAACTAACTAAATATCAGATATTCTAACAGCAACAATGAGCTTTCTTTGAGAAATGGAGGCAGTTTCAAACAGTTCAGCACACGCTGCAATGGCAAGACAACTCATGTGTTACTCTAGACTCAAAAGTTAACATTGTTAAGTAAGGGAAAAATTGAAAAAAGATAGCTTCGTCCATTGGTGGTGTTAACATTGTTAACTCCAAAAATGAGAACCTACCAACAGTGGTCCGGTCAAGTTAAAAGGAGGACACAACAAACGGTATGTACTAAGCAAGGTTGATGGTTTGAATCTTGTGATAAAAGAAAAGAAAAGAAAAGAAAAAAAGATACCTACTGGATTCTAGTAGCCAATTTCTCGCACATTTCTTGCAATCCTGGCAAGTACATTTCCTTCAACATTACAATCTGTAAGGTGAAATAAAAAGATCTTCACTACAATTGGATCTTATTGGCTACAGGATATGTCAAGGATCCAAATCAATGGACTTAAAGTTATCATTTGAAAATGTCAGAAATGTTAATTTATGTAATGCCTTCAATTTTCCTCCACCAAAAAGCAATCAAGAGGCTCTTCAATACTTTGGGTTGATTTGACTATTCTCTGTTGTTCTGCCAGCTTTATTGAGAAAATAGAAATGGTAAAAAAATGGCATGTTTACCTTTTTGTATGCCTCTTCTTGCATTTTCCCTAGAACAGATGGTTATGATAATATAAAAAAACATTAGTACATAGTGCTGAAATAAATAAAGTAAAATAGCAGTCATTTTCTAATTTAACAAAGAAAAAAATGAGGTAACTGTCAGAAACTAGTATAAAAGTAATATTCCCTCAATCATCCAAAAAAAAGGCATCTGGTAATATCAGTTGTTCTCACTACAAACTTTCCAAAGACATGGAGTACCCAACAAGTTACTGGCTGAGAATTAAGGGCTCTGTTTTAGTGGAGGGAATAGCCACCACCAACTCAAGTTAAGAACACATTGCATGGGCATAGTTACAAAATTATTGCTTAACAAGCTAGATTCATTTTTATAACTAAAGTCTTTTGAATATTACAATATAAATGCATAAAATTTTGAGTAATTTTTGAATCAATAATATAGAGTGCATGATTGATATAGAGTGAATTGAATGGAAAATCAAGAAAGCGTTAAAAGATTCCATAGATGAAAGTCAAATCCATAACAAAAAAACTAAATATCTTGTCAGCAACAAATAATAACTGCATGAATAAGAAGTGATGGAGTCATTCATTGTCTATTTTAGAAGACTTACAAATAATGAAACCTCAAATAACCAAAAGCTTAAATAGGCTAACAACTAAATTTGATGCCATTGGGTTGCACGTCAATGGAAATAATCTAACTGCAATCAGGAATATAAAGGAAATAATTATAAGGTGATCCAGTAGATGAGGGGGGAAAAAGAGGGCCACTTCATTACATCCTTAGTCAAATCATTTTACACAGCCACAGGTACCTCAAAAGATGATGATAACTTTAAGATCTAAAATATGAGCATACCTGACTTGTTGCACCAGCAGAACTCTTTCGCTTA